AAGATCTTTCATATCTTTTACTGATGAAAGTATCATATGACATGATAAGAAATTCTTCAGCAGTCTTAATGATGAATACTTTAAAAATGCTAGCATAATAATGAAGAGGCTATTTCATTTAATTTTTACTTCATTCTTAAAAATTTGTTCAATCAATACAGTAGTAATTATAATTTTTGCTGCATCCTGAATGTTCACGTATTCTTTTATACTGATTTCCTATATGCGCTCCTTAGACAGAAAGAAATAAGATTTTGATACATGTAAAATGATGATGTTTTATTAAGATCTAATTTAACTTTTCATTCTTTACCAGACAAATAATCTATCATCATATCAACTTTTAGTATGTATACAGGAATAATCTTTTTCTATCAGCTTGATGATTTTAGGCCTTTGACTTTAATTTAAAACTCAGAATAACTTTTGGATGTGATAACAGTTGCTGTACACATACCTGACAATAACCAATGGCTGGATTATGTCTACTATAAGCAAGCAATACTCTCCGTAACCGAGGTACTCCACTAGAGTCAAGATTTTCATAATGCCTATTATTGGGTAATGTTCTTAGCAAATCCAGTTCAATCTTAAATAAAATTAAAATTTTCAGATGAATTTTTTAGTGAATATAAATTAATTGTAAATACTTAATATTAAGTTTTAATAATAAATATATATGCAAACATAGCAGCAGTATTTTAAAAATACATATGAAATTAAATAAATATCATTTTATACAATTTTATAACAGTGTTCAATTTTCAAGAATAGTAATTACTTTGTCTTAGAATATAAAAAATTTGTTATGCACAAAAGAAAAAAACATTTCAAGCAGAATAGTTACTGTCCTGATGAACATTTCTTCATTCTTAAGATTTCAAATTTAGTTTAATATTTTTAAACTGGTAGCAAAAAAATTTTCACTATTCAACAATTTACCTTCATTGTTTAAAATCAATACAAGTGGAGGAAGAGACCAAGAAAGAGTTGCAATCCACAGTTATATAGCAACACAAGATTTTTACTTATTGTTAATAATCAGGTGAAAATCAGCTTACAAGCAATCTCTAAATAAATTTTTTCTCAATCTCAAAAATGCTTTATGCATTATTGAGGATTAAAAAAAAAAAAAAAAAAAATTCAACAAGGCAGCGAAGGAAGCAAATTCCCCGACTTTCCAGGTGCATAGGAACCCTGTAAGTAGGAAAAGCATAAAAGTAAAATTCCTGTGAGGCAGTGGCGTGCCGTCCACGTGTAATTCTCTATTTATGCCTTTCTTTTGTTTAAAACATGTTTTTATATAAATTGAAAGACATTTACAACAAGAAATCAATCTCCATCAATGCAAAAATTAGATATTATAACACAGTGATAAAACCTCAAGCACTTTATGCAGCAGAAGGTATTGCTAGTCTTAAATGGGGAAAATAGAAAATATGGAGAAAAAAAGAGTGGAAGATCCTTCGAAAAATTCTGGAGCCAAAAATAGATAAACATGGTAACTATGTGCTAAGGAGCAATAAAGAGCTTTATCAAAAAATTCCAAGACTCTCGGTTACAATTCGGAGAAGGTGAGTAAGCTTCTTTGGACATATGAAGAGGATGGGGGAAAATAGGTTAACAAAATAAATTTTCACGTATTTCAACAACCAAAAGAATAAGAATCAATGGATCAATGACAGTCAAAAAAACATGGCAGAAATGGGCATATTGGAAGATATCCAGAACAGGAAAGGTTTAGAAACAAAATAAAGAACTTCAAGGGTTTTCAGGAAAAGGAAAATAACAGACGTGGAAGACTCTTCACTCAGGAGCAAAGACAACAGCAGAGCTAGAGAATGAAGAGGTATTAGAAAGAAAGGAAGAAGAACAAAGGGAAGAGGGAAAAGCAAGTCATAATTAGTTGTTTGCACGTGGTCCAAACATGGCCGGAATCGACACAAGAAGAAACATTCATAAAAACTATTACAATCCAAAATCATCTTTTTCAAGTAATAGGTTTTATTTAAACTAAATACTACTAATGATTCCTTGACTATAGAAGATCAGAAAAAAATAATTATTTACATCTTATAACAATAACTTACCTACTTCTACAGTTAAAAGTAACTCAAAGTAAAATAACGAACACGAGACATTTTCAATTTCAGCGTTGCCAGATGTCACTAGCTTTCGTAACCAAAAGTTTCCTAAAAAGTAGCCTAAAAATAGCCAATTCAAAATCAACATTTAGTAATTGTGACCCACAATTACTAAATGGTATTGCTACGTAATGAACATAAATTTTAATTGTTTCAAAATTGAAAGTATTAAATTTCTTATTACGCTCTCTCTGATCGCGAGACAACAGAGCGATAACATCGAAGCGACAAAATCGTGTTGTCAAAAAAAGCTGCAATGCAGCGTTGCCATTCCTAGTACATTTGTACATTTTGCCTTTTCGGGTACATTGAAGTACACTTAGATTTTTTGTACATTTTGAGTACATTATAATATTTCAGTACCATTTATAGTACAAAATAATATTTTATGCCTTAACGAAAAAATGCGAAAAAATTAGTTTAATACTCACTAGTGTCACCTGCTTGCTAATTTGATTTACCCAATCACAACATACTTATGTTGTATGTTGGTCGATGTCAACAACATACAGATAGTTGCACGTGCAAATGTTATGACTCAGTAGTCGTCTTTCACTTGTGTCACATTCTCACGAGAACCTTGACAAAATTTTTCACGCCACGTGGTCCAAACAATTCAATTCTGTCAAACAAAAATAATGGACAGGTAAGGAAATCAATGATTTTAAACTTTTGTCATCAAAAATATCAAAATATCCGTTAAGTCAAAGTCGAATTATTACACAAAATAGTTTTGAAATTGTACGAGTATAAATAATATAAGTACTTTTATATTANTCAATGATTTTAAACTTTTGTCATCAAAAATATCAAAATATCCGTTAAGTCAAAGTCGAATTATTACACAAAATAGTTTTGAAATTGTACGAGTATAAATAATATAAGTACTTTTATATTATTTTCTATCACTATAATTTAATTCGATTAACCATGGTTCCAAAATGGCGGCGATTCGGTTAGGTTCGTTTCGTTTCCATCAGACTAACTACATTTTTAGTAGACGTTTCCTTTTTTTTTTTAATTCGCCTTTAAAATTCCATCTGTAATGACTTCGATTCAACTTATCAATTAAATGTGGTATATAATTTTGATATAATTGAAGTACGGATATAGTTATTTGTTTAATAAATGCATTATCAATAGCTTTTTCTTCAGGTTGAGATTCTGTTTCAATTTTGTCCGATACAACAGATACTCTAACAGGTTCTTTAAGAACGTGAACAGTTGATATCTTGAAATTAATTCACTTAATAACTAGGCTTTACCATCATCGGGTAGATTAATACTCTCGAGTAATTCTTCGATATTACAACCAATTCCTATTTCAGGCTTTTGATAACTCATCAATACTTCGGAAGGAACTGAAGCCATCTGCTTTGCCATTAGATTTTTTCTTATTACCTTAACAATTAAACCGCCTGCCACAGACAATAACAGACTGATGTTTTTCATCTGTTTTCAAGCAATATGTTTTATTTAAACCAAATACTATTAATGATCCTTTCACTATAAAAGATCAGAAAGTAATAATTATTTACATCTTATAACAATAACTTACCTATTTCTACAGTTAAAAGTAACTAAAAATAAAATAACGAACACGAAACATTTTCAATTTGTATATTGTGCTTAGCGCTTCTTTCGAGTTCATAAACTTTCGTTATAATATATATTTTTTAAATGCTTGTCTTCGGGTCGTCAATGGAAAGGGATGCTTTTTAAATTTATAACAGTTTCTCGTTATACGTCATTAGTTTTTCACCGATTACCGAAAAAAGTACCCTAAAAGCATACGGAGAAATCTATCCCAAGCGTGATTTGGACACATTCTTTGTGCTAGAAGTCCAATACGTTCCTACGCAGCTATCCGAAATTCGTACAAATATTGTTAGGACATATAGTACAGATTATGAAATACATTACTTTTTTATAGTGAACTTTCATAATATTAGTCATTTTTTAATTATAAAGAATGCAGAATATGCAAAATTTTTATGTACAGTACAGTAGAATAATCTTGTTAAATTAAAAACTATAAAATCTCTAGATTAATTGTGTAGTGCTAGGCACGTGTATTTTAATTATTATTCTGTTATATACTGAGTTGTCACACCTTGGTTCGGGTTCTTTGTTTGTTCATTTCAAATTTTTGTATCGCGCGCCACCTTATGGTGGATTTTGTCAGTGCCATGATTGGTCCCTTGGTGACCACGTGTGTGGTGAAGGGAGGAGCGTATAGGAAGTTATAAAAGGGGCGACCCGTGAGGAAGAAGGGGACTTGGTCCAGTGATGCCAGATTGGGCTACAAGTAGCGGATTGGGCTACTTTTTAAGTGCCCTCGCTACAAAAATTTCAAATTGGGCGATACGCTACTTTTTGGGCTAGTGATAATTATATTCAGACTACAAATCTTAAAAATACGCTACTTTTTTATTTTCATATATAAAATCGCAAAACACTTATTGTATTATACAAAAGTAATAATGTTTTATTTAATTTCATTACACTTAAGTATATAATTAAAGTTGCAACGTTTAACAAAGATAAAGATACTTTGCTTCCGTTTTTCATCAGTCGTTCGCTCCAGTAGACAATCCACAACTTCACAAGCACGGAGGCGACATTTCTTGTGAAATTGTGGATTGTCTACTACAAGCATTATCCTGTTGGAATTGCCAATTTTCTCTCCCAATAAGTGATCCAAAAGTTATTAAATTTTGATACAACAGTTCTTGATACAATGGAAAAGGATGGCCTTAAAACTGAAAAGAAAAGCCGCAGTCGCTAAGTCTCTAAGTTCAAAAAATGAATCGCCTCGCCTGCGAATGACTCGCTTTGATTTAGAGAAAATTGATGCAGATACACCGAATGT